GTTAGGTAGGGTAAGGATTCTGTGAGAGAAACAAAAATGAATAAGCTGGCGTGTGGGAACAGGAATTAAAATAAGCACCGACTTGCCGCCTGCCAACGTGGATGTCCTCACATCCCACTGCCTTATTTTTGGTTCCGTTCTGGTTTGTTTTCTTCCTCGCTACTTTAAAATATGATAGGTAGGTTAGAAAGACAAGCCTGGGATGGTCCTGAAGCGCGTCCTACGGGCAGGGTTCCTTCACTGACTCTGCCTCCCTGCATCCCCTCAGCAGCCCTACGGAGAATTACTCTTATTACCTCCCCTTCATTGGACGGGTGGAAGATGGAGTTTAAGACCAGCAAAACAACCTGGCTCAGAGAGACCCACTGGTCAAGCCCAGATGTGAATCGAGACAGTAACCCCAAGCTTGGCTTGACCCATTCTGCTCTACTGACCCCATGTGTGGAAGCCCCGAGTCTCTCCCTCTCTCTCAGAGCAGATCTGATCCCCAAGGTGGTTAGGTACCCTGGGACTCAGGAGACACACACAAGCTCTCTGTGTTTCCTGGGTCCTAGCAGCAACTCTAGAAACTGGAGGTGGGCAGGGTGCCTGGGTGGCTCAGTGGGTTAAGCCTCTGCCTTCGGCTCAGGTCATGATCTCAGGATACTGAGATCGAGCCCCGCATCAGGATCTCTGCTCAGCAGGGAGCTTGCTTCTTCCTTGTTCTCTGCCTCTCTGCCTACTTGTGATCTCTCTCCGTGTCAAATAAATAAATAAAATCTTAAAAAAAAAAGAAAGAAAGAAAGAAAGAAACTGGAGGTGGGCAAGGAGAAGTGGGAAGGAGAGAGGGAGGCATGAGGATGTGTGTTCTTAAGATCTCTTCCCCTCCCTGCCTGCCTGAAGTGAAGCTCTCTGAGTAAGGAGAGATGGAGAGGTGCCAGCAGAAATGAGCAAAACCTGCTCAGTCACCCAACCCAGGTGTTACTCAAAACCCCCAGTCTTTTAAGGGTGAGGACAGAGGCAGAAGAGCAGCGTGAATATGGACAAAAAGTCGGACCAAATCTCGGGCAAACCACCACCTCCCGCCACTCCTAGGCTATGTGACCTAGGACAGGAACGGACGCCTCTGAGCCTGTTTCCTTACTGGCACAATGGGGGGAAAGAATTCCCAGCTCACAGATTTGCTCTGAGAATTAAGGGAGTTCATGTGTGTGAGGGGCTCATCAGAGCACCCAGCACATAGGAGAACTGGAATTAGCCATTATTGGTACTACGCCGCCAGATGCACTAAGATAACACATGCAATAAAGAACATGAATACGATGCTATATAATATGCAACCCTATATGATGATAAGAAATCAAGTGTGGCGGGTGATATGCCCTGGGGAAGATAAGGGTGGGGGTCATGGCACTCATCCGGTTTTGCACCCACACGGTTCCAGCCACGCAAGGCTCAGCAGGGGTGTGGAGAGAAGAGACAGACGGCGGCTTCTTCATCTTACCCCAAACCTCTGCCAGTAAAGGCAGCACCTTTTCATCTTCCAGAAGGAGGGGAGCACTTCCTGAAATGCCCCCACTTAATGGGATTATTCCTTCTGCTTTATACGCCATGCCTTGTGGGAATGTTCATTTTATCTCTGGCAGCTCATCAGCACAATAATTGTTTCATGATGTAATAACCCATGTATTAAATCAGACACGGGAGCCTCCTAGGTAGATTTTTATACTGAATTCTATTTCATGACAGGCTGCCCAGTTGTGGATCTCACCCAAGGGGTTCAGCTACTAAAGAACCACAAGTATTTCACTGAAGGTGCTTTCTCCTATAAGAGGAGAAAGGTTATTTCCTGTTGTTGTTGTTGTTGTTATTTCATAGTCCAGAACTTTGTTGGTCTGTTGTCAGTTTCAACACACTTATGCTTCCTAATGTACTATATAATTTGCTTATTTATTAGGTTCATTTTTTCCCCTGTTCTTCCCCCACTGCAATGTCACAGGGTAGGATGTTGCCTATTGTACTCACTGCTGTTTCTTTTTTTTAGTGGGGGTCAGGGGGAGAGAGACTCTTAAGCAGGCTCTACCCCCAATGTGGAGCCCAACACAGGGCTTGATCCTACGATCCCGAGATCATGACCTGAACCAAAATCAAGAGTTGGATCTCAACCGACTGAGCCACCCAGGCGCCCCATTATTCACTGTTGTTTCTTAATCATCTGGAAAAGTGCCCGTCGCATAGTAAGTGCTTAATAAATACTGTTCAATTAATCAACAAATTGAAGCACATTTCGGAGCATATTTTTTGAAGAGCAACCACGGTGGATACAAGAGTGTATCTCATTTTTCCTCCTTTTCCTTTTTCTTCTCCTTTTCCTATTCACTCTGGTGGATTTTCACTAGACAAGAATGCAACTCCAAAAATCAGGATTAAATCATATTCACAAAAAGTCGTGAATTTTTAACATCCAAGTTCTCTTCACACAAAGACGTTTTTAGTCTCCCAAGGAGACTCAGCTCCACACCCTTATCCAGGGCGAGAGCTGCTGGCTGCGCAAGAGGGGTATCTCCACCCAGACCTGAAGGGGCCTCTTTAATATTTAGGGCCACAAGGGACCAAGAGAGAATGGAGCCTGATGTAAAATTCCAATTCACATAGTGTGAGGACTGGAAGGAACTTTAAGTCCAAACTTCCCATTTTTCAGAAGGGAAAACTGAGGGTCCAGAAGAGCAAACTGGTTGTTGTAAGGCACCAGTACTCAGAACACAGGCAGGAAGAAAAGGCAGATTCCCTTCCTTCCTTCCTTCTTCCTTTCTTCCCTCCCTCCCTCTCTCTTACTCTCTTCTTCCTCTTCCCCTGTCCTTTTTCTTGTCTGTCTGTCCTTTTTCGGGGTGTGGGCACGCACGTGGGTGCACATGCTTATGTGTCTACTCTTTGCAACAGCAGGGTCTAGGACGAGCCCTGTTTAGCAGCCCATACATAATTTTGACTCAGAAATGTGGATGATTTGATTTCACTCACTTCCCAGTCCTTCCCCACAACCTAGATCCCAAACTTCCCATGAACAATGCAAGAGTCTTAGAGGCATTCTGAGCTGAAAGTACCTGAGAAATCAAATCGTCTAAACCCGCTATTTTATAGCCAAAAACAACAGGCTGAACGAAGGAAAGTGAGCTCCCCAGGTCACAAAGCCAGTTAAGAGCCAAGCTGCGGTAGCTGGGACCCTCAGCATCAGGACACATTCAGCTCACTGTCAGGACGCTTCTCTGATTTGTGAGTGGCTCTGACGGTCCCATCATGACGGCTGGAAAACCCAGCCTAAGCAAGCACGCCTCAAATCAAGGAGGCAAACTTTTCCACTGAGCGAGTGAATAGAATTCTAATGAGAAAACTAGTAGAAAATAGAATCCTTATGGGATACCCACACAGATACACACCGATATGTGCATACGTGATTACTGCATACATCATACAGAAAGGGTGCTTCTTTTTTTAAATACTTGACACTAGGCATGTAATAAATTCACAGAGCTAGCAAGGACATCAAAAACATATTGCTAGTGGAAGCAGATCTTGGCACAACATTTTTGAAAAATGAGCCATCAATATCTGTACAAACTAAAATGTATGCATTCTTTGATCCAGTAATTCCTCTTCCAGGAACCGGGAACCATCTAGAGAAAAAGAACTATCACAGATATGTGCATGAGGATGTTTATGAAACTACTGTTTATAGCACAAAAAGGAAAAAAAAATCAGGTGGTCCATCCTTAGGGTTATGGCGTCATGAACCGTGATACACCAATTTGTAGAATTTTGTGTGACTCTAATAAAATGAATTATTAGAGAGCTGAAGGGACACCCATCATTTATTAATTTGTGAGAAAACCAAACTGCAGGGTAAAGGGATGGACATGCTTATTTGGACGAAGACCACCACCTCTCTCCAACACGTCTATGTGCATCCGTGTCTGGGACAAAGGGACAGGAAGGAAAGATGGAAGTCTGTTAACACTGAACATCCCAGGGAGAAGGTAGGGATGGGTGCAGGGGGAAGATATGATTGCTACTTTCTTCATACATCTTTAAATGTTTATGCTGACTACAATAATATATATATATATAATATATATATACACACACAATTATTTATATATATATATAAAATATATATATATTACGTTGAAAAAAAATCCAGACAAAAAATTTCTAAAGACAAAGATGGAAGGAACCCAGAAACAGTCCGCTGGATCTCATTTCAGCCTCCCTTTTTCCCCTATAGACCCGCAGTAGCAGGAACACTACGAGAGAATTATTCAGGGCAACCAAGAGAAGCTCGAAGCTGAACTCTCTCTGCCTCTAGCTGCCATGACATCGTTTGAGCTAGTTCCTTCTCCCATCCAAGCATCCTAATCCTGAGGCAGGAAGTGACCTGCCAGGAACCAACAGGAAGTAACCTGCCGAGCAGATACAGCAAATGAGATGTGAACAGAGCACCAGCAAAACTCATCTTTTACCACAGGAAAGGGGCTCCATCTCCTTCAAGGAGAGGGTGGCTCAGGACGCTTGACGCTACCCTGCCCCACAGAGGAACTCACAGCCATAAATAAACCAGGCAGGACCCACTCTACATAAAACTAAGAAGCAGAGAGAAGCTAAGTTTGGCAGGCAGGCCTTCTAGGCACCTGAAGCAGCTTCTGGAAAGGTGGCCTCGTCTCCATGGGCTTCTGTGTTCAGTCCTAACTACACGATGAATGAAAATGACTGACCCACAGAGGCAGAGGTCCTGACTGGGACAGTGTGACCACGAGGTTTCCACTATGATAAAATTGCCTTTCCTGAAGCCCTAACTGGGCCCATCTTCCGGGGTGAGTGTTCCAAAGATAAATGTCACCACCAACTCCCATAACTTCAAGAGTCGTGCACATGAATATACAAAACTTTCCTTCTGTGGGGATGGCCCCAACCTCTGATCCACCACAGCTCGGAAACCAGAGGGAAGAAGGGAAGAGAGGTCAACTTACCAAGCCAACTTCTGTTTAAGTACACAGACACAAACACTGGGGGGACCGTGAAGAAATCTACCACAGAGTTCACTTCCAGCCAGAACCACAGCTTATCGTTGGCTGCAATAAACTGGGGAGACAGAAATGGAGAAAAATATGAGAGGCACGACGCTGGCATTCTAAGTATATGCTTTTGCCAAAGGCTATGTTTTGGGTTTTCACCGGGGCCTGGAGGGAGATGTTCCGTCCTTCTCATAGCTATACCAATCACAGGCTATTTCTGTCTGAGAATTCGGTTATACGGTGTTTTCTAGAGAGTGAATGTAGATTCTGTTAACCTTGGAGAAATATTAGGCAATCAGTTTTCCTGTGGTTTTCAACAGCATTATAGGAAAGTCTGAATGGTCTCACCTTCACTAGACTCTAATGGAAACAGAACTCTAAGTAAAGCATGTATGTACTCATCCATGCACACACATATGTGCACACACGTGTACACAAAATCTCCATAATACACATTCTGTACAGCTCCCCTCATAGATGGCTCTACTACAAATCCTCCAAGCCCCTGAATGCTACCGATCTCCTGCCTCAATTCAAGCCTCACAGCTGTTCCCTCAGGATTCAGCTAAGTGAGCCCCGATGAACATAATTTTAAGAGAAGTTTCTTTTTTCTTCCATTTAAGACAACAATACGTTTGTATTTAGAGAGATGAGACACATTCAGCTAGGAGAGACATATTAGCTACGTCAATCCCTGTTTCTCCTCCTTGGAATAAGATTTTAACATGTACTTCTGAAAACGTGAAGTTAAGGAAAAAGCTCTCTCAGACACTGAAAATCAGAACATGGGTTCTGTTGTCCCCCCCTGGAAACACCGGGCTTCATCTCTGCAAGAGCGGAGGCCAGCGGGGCACGGCCCCTGAGTACAAGCCGCCCCATGGTGACAGAGTTGTGGGGATCAGACTTACCCGCAGGCCAAAGTAGAGAAGGAAGAACACGTTGAAAGCCATGTCGATCTGTAATGTGAAATCTTTGTAGAAATTCTGGCAGGATTCTATTGGGCTATTAGACAGGAAGAAGAAAAAAGCAAGAGGTAAATGAAAAATATCATCACGTCTTACACATACTGCGTAGTACTGGAGCTCGGGGTAGAGGACAAAATGAATCTTCATTGACTAAAATATTTGGTCTTTCTACCCTCTGTGATAATCAAGCAAGCATGGCCAAGGGGTCTTTCCATTCAACCATTCAGTCTTTTGTTCTTTTATTTGTTTTTGTAATTATATATTTATATATATGTAAATTATGTTTATTTTCATTCAACAGTTGAGCTAAAAATCTTAAAAGGATCATGCAGACACCTTGGAGGAAGGACAAGCAGGAGAGACCATCAAATTCCTTAATTTCACATTAACCCTTAAAGAACTGACTTCTTTCTTTCAGAGGACACATACCAAATCTCCAAATAGTCCCTCACACCCTCTAGCACATTGGAAGTAGAACCCATTTTCAGTTAAACACAGCGGCTGTGTTTGAGACCTCTTGAAAGCCATCGGCTGATGAATAATAAAGGACCCAGGAGCATCTCAGGAAAGCTGTGGAGAAGAGGATCCTGGTTGACGATCTGGCTAAACTAAGTATGGACTTGATGTATAGCGCTCTGATCTGGAGAAAGAAGCACTGCCCAACTGCTAAGTTCAAGACCATTAAACCAAAATGTTGAAGCAGTACTCTAAGGGTTAATTTTTTTTTTTTTTTTTGGCATGCAAGTTAATTGGCTTTGTGTGGGTCAAGCAGCCAATGCGAACCCCCAGCACACCCTGCTTTGTTCAAGAGTAGACAGTTCAAAAAGGTACTACTATACAAACTGGTACATGGCTTCCGTGTGCTTTCCCGCATCAAACTGATCAGAGGATCAGTGTGTGAAAAGTCCCAAGTTTGGGGTTGGGTGGGAAGCAGGAAAGCCTCATAAGCACCTCACAAGCATCAAAGCTGTGAATGAAAATTCATAGTAGACTGTTATCAGTAAGCAAATGGTACCACTCCGGGCCAGAAACATAAAGAAGGTGAGGTGAGAGAAAGGGGAGGGAGTACGGGGAGAAGCAAAATACTTTCCCTGGAAGGAAAGCAACGTGGACCTTTTTGCCAGGAGGGCACTAGCCTGAGAAGTGCAGGATGGAGGATTTCAGAGTACCACCACTTTGGAAATCGCTATACACAATACCAGTTAGTATAGTTGTACTTCTGCGAGGACAATGCTTGGTTGTTCAACAGGCAGGAATCTGTGCAGTATGGGAATGCAGGGCCCACATAGAGGTGTGGTGGGTCGGTCTATGGGGCTCTCCAATCATATTACATGCACTGGATTTATCCATTCTTCATCTCTAGAACAAGTCAAACATGCCCTTTGTCATCTCCTACATCACAAATAGGTGGGAAAACCCCCAGACAAGCAGGGGGTGGGGGGCATCTACATTTGCATTTACCAACTAAGCAGACTGAAGAAAAAGCAAATGCTGAAAAACATTTATTTTATAAAGGAAATGACAGCTCCTAGGTTTTCACTAAGGTGGGGAAGTGGGAGGGAAGACAGCATGGAATTTGCTTCATCCTATGCTAGAAGAAGTCAGGAGCCCAAAAGCTAAACCACTGCTCTTTGCCTCTTCCCCTACTTGGGTATTGCTTTAAAGGAAAAAAGGAAAATCCAGACCTAGAGTTAGTAAGAGACACTTCTGCAATCCCCAAGCCAGGATAGTGTTTTGTTTCATGTCAAAAACAAGACCCACAAGGTCCACAGGTGTCAGAATTCTTAGCTACTATAGTCAAAATGACAAGAAATACATGAACTAGGTTGACCAGAAATCCACTACAGATTCCAAGGGATGAAGAGACAATGCATCTCTGTGCTACGTAAGCCGCTGGTATGATGGGTTACTGAAGAATGGATGGTGTGTGTATGTGTGTGTGTGTAAGAGAGTGATCTAGAGAGTGAGGATGGGAAGCTCTGTTGGTAAATGCTGCACTCGTGTTTTTACTTGTACCAGCAGTGACTTCGATGTGCATTTAAATTCATATTCATCAAGATGGGCAGTCATAGTCAAAGGGACAGAGAGAAAGTCTTGATTCCCAAGTCTATTTTTGGAAAACCCACTTTCACTTCACCAAGGTCAAACAATAGCCTTACTATTGCCCACACAATAGTTATTGGTGATATATTTGGGGGTCCTGTGAATTTCCTAGCTTCCAAGAATTCCATGGCCTTTGTGGTTAATTTGGTAGCAAACTTAAATTGCATCTTATAGGTAAAACATTTGCTAGGCTGTGGAGGGGAATGGGATAGTGGGGGAAAAGATGTTAGCTGAATGCCATTGAGGATATTTTGGTTCAGCATAAACAGAAGCATATGTTCAAAAGAGCATAAGGAATCAGGCTGTAGCAACTTCTTTCCATTGATCCTTTTCTTCCCTGTCATTTCCACTGTTCCTTCTTATACTGCCCATACTCAAAGGCAGCAAGAGAGGGCTTTCTGCTAAAGGACACTGTGTTGAAAAAAATATACCACAACAGCACCCCTGATTTACAGAAAACAGTGCTGCAAACATATCACACCTTTTCCTTAGTACTTCTTTCAAAAAGTTTGAACTGATTTAATCACTGTTTCATAGTATTCCTTGAGTCCTAGACTTTGGGCTGAAAAATGAAAGCTGCTGGTACGAGCAGCTTGTCCTCTGGCTGAAGCCTACCAATGACACCAGTATACTCTGCTGAGATGGAAGAGACAAAGAGCAGAAAACTCTGGGATAAAAGAGGCCCAGCCTCTGCGACCCAGGTAGGACCCGAGTGATGGGGGAGATCTGTTTTCTATCCCTTTTAGCTCTTTCCCGCTTGCCGCGAGAGTCCAAGGAGAAATGTCCTGCCTGGTTTTCTCAAGTGGCAGTAGAACTGTTTATCAGGACCCCCTCTGAGATAAAGCCTCTGAGGGCCTGCAGTTCACAAACTCACACAATCAGAGACCACAGAGCAGAGATTCTAAAGCCCCATCATTTCATTCCCTGAATGGAAACAACCCACAGAGAAGTTCACCGATCTTATAAAAAGAAAATATATAATTCAACAATAAAACGGCTGGCCATATTAGCCAGAATTTATTTTCCTCCCAAAGAGGTTATTATCTTAATGATTAATGCTCATTGTAGGATAGAAAATGAAATACAAACTCCTCTTCCTTCTTGTGTACACTAGAGTTCCTTGTCTGGATACACAGAAATTTCAAGAGATAGAAAAGAAATCCCCCCCCTTTTTTTTAACACAAAAAATGGTGACTCCAAAGTACACACTTAAATTTGGATTGCCATTGCTACGAGGCATGCCCACGTCAGAATAGGCTGTGTGTGGATATATGTTGCCAATAGAAAAAAAAAAAAAAAAGTGGAGTTTTAAAAACTGAAATAGGGATACTGGTTCTGATCCTTGTAGTAGTAAATGGACTTTCCCTAAATTGTTCCTGGTTAAACTAATGACTTTCCAATGAGAAGACACAAGTTATTTGGTAAGCTGATGGACTCCTCATTCTTCGACTCCCACAGTCCATGGGTCAAAGGTGATACTAAAACCTTAGGCAAGGTTAGTGTTTTCACCAGGACTCTATGACTGGGACACCTTCAAAAGAACCTCGATCAAGAGCTGCGTATGGTTTAAATGTTGAGTGTAGGAGAGTCATCTTATTTCCTCTTGGCCATCCAGTAAACATATCTGTATCATTTAGTTGTCTATAGAGGAAAAGGAGACTCATCCAGAATGGCAAACATATCTCCTTCTTCATCTATTTAACAATATAATATCCAGTGAAGACCCTTGAGTGGGAAGAGCCAACAGTCCTTCTTGGAACTGACTTAAGACCTTGTCTCTCCAAAGCCCAGGGCAAGCAATGGCTAGCCAGGTTTTCTTTCAAGGGGCAGGCACTAAGGAGGAAAAAAATCTCACTTCCAGCAGTTGGTATCCTCTGGATACCTGCATCATCCCCAAAAGGGTATTAAATGCCCTCTCTTCTCAGCCTCTAAACTCCCCTGGTGTTACCTGAAAGTCTGTTTTCCTGACTCCCTGGGTCTGGCTACTAAACCTAGTGAAGATATTTCTCTAGGACAGTGGTTCTCAAACTTTAGCATGTACCTGGAAGGCTTATGAAAACACCGACAGGTCCCTTCCAGAGTTTCTGATTTAGTAGGGCTGGGGAGGACCCCTGGGAATTTACATTTCTAACAGTTTCCCAGATACCGCTGCTTGTCTGGGGACCAAACTTTGAGAACCACTGTTTCAGATGAACTTTCTTGCAACTACACACTAATAACAGGTCTTGCTACTCGAGAAGATTCCCATTCAGACCTGAACAGAGATGATTAAACATTTGAGCCCACCCCCAGATAACCAGCTGCATACCACTTAACTAATTGCCGAGATCAAGAGGTTGAACAGGTATTTTTACTTTCAGGTGGGAACAAGGGGGGGAAAATTAAGATGATACAGAAAAGTAATTACCACACCACTATGCGAGCTTCACCAACGAGATTCTAATTAACAGAGTGCCTGAGGAGCACATTTTTTAGTTTAACATTAAAAGGAAAAATGAAGTATAGATGGGGAGAGGTTACGGAGACCATCATTTATAAGAGATCACAAAATGTTAAGCAGTTTAAGGACATCAACAGCAGCACATATCTGAGATGATTTAATAAATAACCACAGGAGAGGGAAGGGACTTAACTGAGGAACAAGATAGCACTTTGTGAAATAATTTCCAACATTTGAATTCTCCTCGCTCTTGTGGCTAGTCCCTTTTTAAATTGGACGGAGCCTTCTCAATTCCCACCAGGATTACAGACCACCAGAGTGCAGGTCCACAGCACCACAGACATGAATCAATACAGTAAGTTTAATGATTCCAGACTCTTCTCCTAGTCTCACCTCTGCAATGTTGTCAGATTAATTTAATTAAAAGATGTCATTCATCTGCCATCATGGCTCCCTCCTGCCTCAGACATCAGCTCTAACCCTGGCTGTGATGA